TTTTTTTTTTGTAGAAGTAGGATGATAGTATTTGTATCTTTTCTAAGTGGGGAAACACCCAATGAGCACACACTTAAGAGCTCATGGATCTAATTTTTCTCATATTTCCTTGCTGACATAACATAGCAATTCATCCCATATATTGTTTGTGGACATAACATAGGCAATTCATCCGAAGACATTTGAGGCATTCCTTGAGGAGTAATTTTTGTAAAAAAAAAAATCGCCATGTAATTTAAACATCTTTTGAATTAATATTTTTTGTAAGGTTTTTACTGATTAGGTATGTGACAATTTGAATAAGCTCTCTTTAATATTGCTTTGGTACTTTATTTTGGAAGAGGAAAGGCCTGGTGAATTTCAGAGCATGAGCATTTTTTTTTCCTACCAATTAACTTTGTTAGAGATTATCAGGACTTGAAGATTGATAGATAATACATTTTTAATGAAAAAGAATAATCTTATGTGATTAAAATAACCATGGGCTTTATTAGCCTAAAATATTTTAATATTCATACTGAATTAATTTTTTATCATGATATAAAGGTGGGAAGGATAATGTTGACTCCAATTTTTTTTCTTAAAAGGTATTCACTCAAGATATTCAAGCGTAATTATTAATGAAGGTAAAACATCAATGAAAATAAAAAAATATTAGAGATTTTGGAAGGTCTCAAAATATTAGAGTAAATTAAAATAAAATGAGGAAATGATATAGAATTGCCTTTAGGGAAAACAAAATGATGATATTTTGCGAGTTCACAAGTCCCATAAAGAAAATCCTAAATTCTTGTATTTGTTAAAAGAGAAGAAAACATACATTGAAAGATTTTAAAATAGGGATGTATTAGTCTATAATGTTGTTCTATCATGATTATAAAGGTAGGAACGATAATGTTGACACCAATTTTTTTTTTAAAAGGTATTCACTCAAGATATTCAAACATAATCATCAATGAAGGTAAAACATCAATGAAAATAAAAAATATTAGAAAATTTGGAAGGTCTCAACATATTAGAGTAAATTAAAATAAAATGAGGAAATGATATAGAATTGCTTTTAGGGAAAAAAAAATGATCATATTTTGCGAGTTCACAAGTCTCATAAAGAAAATCCTAAAATTCTTGTTTTCGTTAAAGGAGAAGAAAACATACATTGAAAGATTTTAAAATAGGGATGTATTAGTCTATAATGTTGCTCTCAGTTGATGTCGATATTGTGTGTGAAAATGAAGTATCATAATAATTAATTTTGATTCCCAAGAAGGTGTAGTTTATTATCCTCTTTAGCTTGATCAAATCATTTCCTTATATTGAGATCCAAAAATACACAATGATCAATAACAAATATACAGTTATGATTTTTTATAATTTTATGGATTGATAAAAATTAATTGTAAGGTTATGAACATGTAATAAGTTACTCAAGTGAAAAGTAGAAGAAACTAAATATTTTTTACCTTGCAATAGTTCTTAGAGATCCATCCATAACATATCCATTTTATTTTATTAGTTGGGCTTGTATGTTTTAATAATATTGGCAACATTTGTCTAGTGATCAATGGCACCCAAATCTTCATTCCAAGTTTAAAAAAGAATATTTGAGGCATTAAAAACACAAAATTTGGAAGTCATTATTTTGAGTGAGTGGGCATAATTCAGATGATTTTTCTAAATAATTGAGAAAATTCATTACTCATCATTTTTTTCGGATTGAGATCATTTATTTCCATTAGCCTGACATGTCTATTTCTGCTCAACTCATTTTTTCTACTATCATCTTTAGGTTTTCTAAGAAGTTTCTAACATTTCTCTTTAATATGCACATTCTTCTTGCAATAGTTGCACGTGATATTTTTTTGGGGAGAAGGTTTTTGCTCTTCTTTTGGAGCATCAAATCTCTTACTTTTAGATTCTAAGACTGTCAACTAAATTATTGAATATTATGGTCCCTTCTTTAGTTCTTAAAGAGAGGAAAACTTATTTGGAGAAGGGGAGTTTTCTCTATTAAAGATTTGGACTTAATTTGATTAATAATAAATGAAAGCATTATTGTGTCCTATAAGAAACTCAATTACTTTTTATATTTCAACATTTTGCTTTAGAATTATTGCCTTCTGAAAGTATATTCTCTTGAGATCTCGATAATAATCCAAATAAATCTTTATGACATTAAAATATTCAATGACATAAATGTTATCTTATTTTACAGTAAAGAGTTTCGATTTGATCTCATAAATGAGTGCATGAGTTTAACAATACCCTAAACTTCTTTTGTGGTAGATTGAAACACATACCCTCCATTGATTTCTGACTTCATGATATTCTACAACCATATCATGATCATGGAATTTTTTTTTTTCCTAAAGTACACTAAACAAGTAAGAAATCTCTTAGATATCAATAAATAGCCAACTTCATAATCAAATAAAATTTTACAAGGTATGTTGAAATCAAAATCGTACATGTCATAATCTTGGGTGCTTCCTTACTCTTTTGATTAGTCAAACTATAAACTTTAGGTTGAGCTGGAGCAATAACAATTGGTGCAACATACCCTCTCTAAATTTCTCTTGCATTCTTTATGGTGAATCTCCCACCACCCCACTTACTAAAAGCTTTTGATGAGACTATCCTCTACTGATTGTCATATCAATGATTTAGTAAGCATTTGATCTACTCTCGAATATTTTTCTGGATAGTGATTTCCCGTA